CACCTTGTCTGAAAATTGAAATATTTTAGACCAAAATACAGGAATAGTTTTCAGCATAACTTATTGATAAGTAGGGTAATTTTTCACATCCAGTGTAAAGTTTTAACCCATTTGCCACACGTAGCAAGAGTAGATGCCATACCCACTTTAAGACACATTTATTTATTGTATTAACACATAGATGGCTCCACAAGTTCTTAATCACCAAATAGCCAGTTATCGAAAACCACCTATTTCACCTGTTTACCCTTTTCCTTCACTTTAGGAAAGGTTTTTTTGCATCATTTCATTGTCTAAAATATTCTAATGACAATTTGATAATCATAACATCAATAACAATAATAAGAGTATCGATAGCAATGGTATTAATTTTCCCGCCAATTCAATGAATGGGAAAATTAGGGTCGGTAACTAGGGCCTACTGATAGACTCCTTGCCGGCTGAGTACATGTGGAGCCATCTATATGTAACAAAATTCACCAAAAACTACAGGGGACAGAACATAAATCCGGGGCGAATGGGTTAAATCATCATATATTTTAAGTTTCATTACCAAATTTTACTAATAAAAAAAAGTAAGTAGCCGAACATGATGTATTATTATTATTATTATTTATTTATTTATTTATTTTTTCAGGCAGAATTATCAGCTTGCATTCAAGTCTTATTCATATACTATTATAAAATAAAAAGATATTGTAGGAAAAACACAACTGATTCCATAATACAAACAATGAATAGAGAGAATGGGAATATACATTAGTGGGATATTATTAACAGATAAAAATTCTTATGCTGTTTGATTGTTAGTGAAATTTAATAGTAATCTAAATTGCTAAATTTTTATTTATACAAGTATGAAAAGATGCAATTTACAGGAACTAAGATACCTCGTTATATACATTCTGTATTTCTAGTATGTGGATTATTATATGGTCTTGAGTAGGAGTCATTTTTAGAGATAAGAAGCTCTTTTGACAATATTTTCATTCTAATGATAATACAGAATAGTAAGCTGTTAGCTTTGTTATATAAGTTAGGGCTTGCTAATTGATATATTGAGATAATATCAAGTGCTTTTGTTATTTCAATATTTAGAAGTATGTGTAACTTCTTATCAGAATATTTTATTTTTATTTGGAAATCATGTTTAAGTATTTATTTGTGTATGTGTTTGTGTGTGTGTGTGTGTGTGTGTGTGTGTGTGTGTGTGTGTGTGTGTGTGTGTGTGTGTGTGTGTGTGTGTGTGTGTGTGTGTGTGTGTGTGTGTGTATAGACACATATTAGTGGACACAGGGAGGCAAGGAGGTGTGGCCACCCCTCAATAATAATAATAAAAAAAAAAGTTTATTCCACATTCCCCTCATACATACATTTTTTGCTCTGAAAAAAACAGTACTAATCTATTTTTTTTGTTTTGTTGTCGTTTTGTTGTGTTGCGGTGTTCCTGTTCTGGTTTTTAATTAATTTTGAAAGTCTTCACAAGTATCCTCTTGACCTCCAAAAAACTGCTAAGTGTCCACCACTGTATATATATATTTTTATGTATATATGTATATATATATATATATATATATATATATATATATATATATATATATATATATATATATATATATATATATATATATATGTATATATAATGTTTATGTGTAAATATATACTTATATATATATTTATATATATATATATATATATATATATATATATATATATATATATATATATATTTATATTTATATATATTAATATATATATATATGTATATATATTACATATATGTGTGTGTGTGTGTGTGTGTGTGTGTGTGTGTGTGTGTGTGTGTGTGTGTGTGTGTGTGTGTGTGTGTGTGTGTGTGTGTATTTATGTATGTGTATGTGTGTGTATGTATGTGTGTACACATATTTGTATGTTTGTATGTGTTATGTCCAGTGTGTTGCCCAACTTTATTACATTGTGGGATATATGAAAATAAATTATTCCTTTGCCTTACTGAAGATATCTTGGTGGTTCTTCAAAAATAGTGATATTTTGTGGTGTTGAGTTTAGATAAGAGAAAATGAGTACTTTATTAATGTTAACCATTGGAAATTGACTGTATATTGGGGGAAAAATTATATTATATATATTATTGTTATATTATATTCATATTTATATATTTATGTTCGGGAAATAGAAATTTATGAATTAATTTGAAAAGTCTCAGAAATTCCCTTGTCACAAAAGATGTTTATTTATGCTTTTTACCTTTTATGTTTTGTTTCAGTTTTAAGCGCCTGTTAGGTGCTGGGAGTCTTTTACATAATACAGAACAGGAGTTGAAATTCTGTTGTTGATATTACTTAATAACTAAAACTTGTGTTCATTCATTTTGACTTCATTCAGTTTTACAATAGTGTACTCCATAAAAGTGTTTTTATACCTTGACATTTTACCATTTTACAAAGCTTAGTAAAAGTTGTTTATTTGTGTACTGTTTTTTTTTTTTACAAACTCTTTCTTTTTAACTGCAGTTAAAAGAAGAAATAGAGTTGATATCTGATTTTGAATATAATTTTTTTCTTTAAGGGCAGTATTCTCAATTGAAGTATGCAAAAACATTATATTCCATACTTAAAGGAAATATCCATACTTTCACGTACTGATTTATTATCCAGTGGAAAAGTCATTTTTTTTTTTCCCCAAAACCAGATTTGCTTTTTTATGCCTTTTAGAACCAAATAATTGATTTTGAAAAGAGTTCCAATTTTCACCCAAATCAAAATCTGACCCAATTTTCATTTTCTCTCTCTCTGAACATTTTTTCCCCCCGTTTTCATTAACCCTTATTTTTCTCTCTCTCTCTCTCTCTCCTGATTGATTGATAACGTGTCTTTGTATACTCTTTATCATCGACACAGAGTCGTAAACACACTCAACCCCAAAGAAGAATGGCTTCAATGACCTTTGGTCAGAAGTCCTTTACTCCCACACCGCCACAGAAAGGCAGCTTTCCTCTCGACCATGAGGGAGAGTGCAAGAAATTTATGATTAAGTGAGTACAAATTTTTCTTTAGCCTTGTTGTTCGAAGGCTGTCTTGTTTTTTTGTTTTTTTCCTTTATTTTTGTTTATTCTTTCTTTTTTTTTGTATTATGTATTTAGTTTTTTTTTTTTTTTTTCTGTTGTATATATGTGATAAATGGCTACGGTCAGATATCAGTATATAGCATTGTATTTCTTAGATATTAAAGGAAATGTTTTGTTTTTATGTGTGAGGATTTTTTTTTTTTAATTTTTATAAGTTTTGATTATCCATTTAATTTACTTTACTTTCTTAATCTCAGAAATTCATATGACTATATTTTGTTGTTTACTTAAAAAAAAAAATAAAAAAAAGTTATTGTATTCTGCATTACTGTTGTTAGTCTTATGTTATAAATGGTTAGAGAGAGACGGATAAACTTTATTTTTTTTGTATGCCTTAATAAACTTATTTGTAGGTAGTTTTGCTAACCTAATTACTCTGGTAGAAAGTTGATCTAAAACTCTTACACATTTATAAATAACTTCCATATATCTATGGATAATTCTTACACCCTTACTTATGTAAATGTATATATATTTATATATAAGATTATACAGGTGTGTGTGTGTGTGTGCGTGTGCATGTGTGTTTCTCTTTTTGTGAGAGAGAGAGAGAGAGAGAGAGAGAGAGAGAGAGAGAGAGAGAGAGAGAGAGAGAGAGAGAGAGAGAGAGAGAGAGAGAGAGAGAGAATGTGTGCACCTGTGCACTTGTATTTGTGTTTTTCTGTTTCTGCGTCTGTATCTATGAGGGTTTGCACTTGTGCATGTCTTTATATGTACTGGTACCAGTATGTGTGTATGTATGCACATACTTTGGCTATGATTGAGTTAATGGCTCTGTATACATGTTGATGGTGTGTGTACAAATGTACATGCATGTAAATGTCTTTTTCCCTGTGACTACCATATTAAAAGAACTATCACTCAGAAGATTACCTGCACATCCTTTAAACTTATGTTGTCAGTGTATATGTGACTTGCATGAGTACCTGACCTAAGGCCAATAAAACCTACCTTCTCAGACAAATTTCTCTTGGAAGGAGAGTGAAAGTAAAGCATACGATACCTTTGCAATTGGAAGCAGTAATTATTATTGTTGGATTTTCTGCAAACTTTATTATTCTCTTTGAAAATCAAGGGTAATGTCTGCTATAGCATTTTGCTTGGAGATCATGTCATGTTAGTTTTTTATTTTTATTTTTTTATAATCATGGATGGAAAATGTTTGAGAATATACTGAATTTGAACAGGTAAATTGAAAGACTGGAAGTTGTCATGTTGATTTACTTGAAACTTCATAGGCCAGATGAGGAAAACAAAAACTACAAAAAGATACCCAGAAAAAAAATGAGAGCCCAGTTCCCTGAGCTCGTTAAAAGAAGTTTATATTTAGAGAATAAAAAATACAGTTATGATAAGGAGGTAGCAAAGACAGCCTTTTGTAACGCATTCTTGATGGGTTGATATTCATCATAGGAGGCCTGGTGTTGGGATATGTCCCATCACATAATGTCAAGGTCAAGCCAGCTCTAAGGTGTGTGTGCCAAAGAGTGGTTCACTAGTTTGGCCCTGGCTCTGTTTACTGAGGAGAGACAGACCCTCAAAAGTAGTTATGAAGCACCTTATGCTGCAGTCAAGAACATTGAGAGTGGGGGTAAATTTATGGTTTTAGCACTTCTGATTTATCCCTGAGGCATGGTTTGGTATGGGGCCATGAGCTCCCTTCATAAGTGGGTTAGTGTTGTTTATCAAATATACAAGGAATCCCCCCCCAACCTCACTAAAAAAAATTGTGATAATAGGAAATCAGAATATTACTAGGTATAGGTCATCATACTTTTGGAAGTGTTAGTATTAGAAAGCTGTGAAAAATGACTGAAATTGTTTTGTATTGCATTTGATTACCTCAGCAAAATAGAGGTCCTCATTAACTTAAATCTTGTGAAGTAAAAGAAAAGGCAGGTTGTAGCCATACAGTTTCCCTTCAATCGGAGATCAGATTAATGACAAGAAGACAATGTTGATAGAATTGAGGGTACTGGAAGCAGTTTCTTCTCAGGAATCAACATTGTTGCTAGTGATGTGCAGAAAGACAGCACACTTGAAAGGAATTGGTTCAAGGAAAATTCTTCAGTTGGATACCTTAGATGCTTGCACACAAAAGTGCATCTTTACCATTTCATACAGTTGTAGTATACTCTACCCCTCACTGCAGCTATCCCTTGAAATGGGCCCATTTTAATATTAATGCCATGGCCATCACCAACATAACTCTATCCAAATAAGTTTCTGCACATGCCATCTGGCACATGAGAAAGTGCAGTTTTGCAATGAAACATGCTTGATAAAATTTATGATGACTAAGATAATGATATATGTACACCATGCTAAATTGATAATTATTGCCAGAAAATTATGGAATAAATGGATGAAACCTTTGATAATTATGGACTTGAATTCTGATACAACAAATATTTGCAGAAATAGTGTTGTGCTGAATGTTTTTTTATATTTGTAAGTAATATTCCACACTGCAAAAGTGTACTGAAATCTGAGGAGTCATCAGTGTTTATTAATGTTTTGGTATTAATAATCTTTCAATATTTTTTAAAAACATTCCTAAAGAATCTATTTGTATATTCATCTCTCATTATGTATATATATTATCTAAAATGATTATCTTAATACTTTATACTAAATAATCTTAATGGATTCCATATAACTCTAGATCAGTAGGAGTGAAATACTAACCCTCTTGTGGCAGTCTATGGTTTCGGTATTAATCTCTGTTTATGAAAGGTAGAAAACATGTGATTTACTAATGTATTAATGTAGATGATTGATGTATTGTGGTGGGTGTTTTTTTTTTTTTTTCCAAAATCTTGTTTATCACCAGTTATTCGCAATATTCTTACATCGTGGCTGTTTCGGAAATGTGCATTTTTCAATACGTTCGGATTAAATCCAGGATTTTTTTTTTTTTATATCTGTTTCATAAACTGGCTTACAACTTTTTTTTTAAGTTTATATTTATGAAGACAATTCCTGCCATTAGGTTTGATTTCTAAGTAAAATTGTGTGATATTAAAATTCGTACTCTATGATGATACAGTCGATTATGATGGGATTTTATTGTTTGAGGGCAAACTTAGAACTTTGAATGGTAAAGTAATAGAGAAAGAGGTTTAAAATCTGAGTGAATATTGATTTTTTATCTTTTTCTTTTTTTTGTAAGGGAAGCAAGATCTTTTGCTTGTTGAGGTATGCATGTGTTATTTTGTAGTTTCTATTACTGTTCATAAGGGCGTATTACTGATGTGTCTTAATAGTTTTTGATTAATCCTTTGTTTTCATTGTAAGCAGTTATGAAACCTTAAAAAAAAAACAAAAAAAGAACAAGCATTTATTTTGAGAGACCCACCCCACCCATTCAGATTAAATACCATAACCCTTGTCTCAATAGAACTCCAAAAAGAACAAGCATTTATTTTGAGAGACCCACCCCACCCATTCAGATTAAATACTATAACCCTTGTCTGAACTCCAAAAAGAACAAGAGCTTTTATCTCAAGAGACTCACCCACCCCCCCTCCCCATTCAGATTAAATACCATAACCCTTGTCTCAATAGAACTCCAAAAAGAACAAGCATTTATTTTGAGAGACCCACCCCACCCATTCAGATTAAATACCATAACCCTTGTCTCAATAGAACTCCAAAAAGAACAAGAGCTTTTATCTCAAGAGACTCACCCACCCCCCCTCCCCATTCAGATTAAATACCATAACCCTTGTCTCAATAGAACTCCAAAAAGAACAAGCATTTATTTTGAGAGACCCACCCCACCCATTCAGATTAAATACCATAACCCTTGTCTCAATAGAACTCCAAAAAGAACAAGCATTTATTTTGAGAGACCCACCCCACCCATTCAGATTAAATACCATAACCCTTGTCTCAATAGAACTCCAAAAAGAACAAGCATTTATTTTGAGAGACCCACCCCACCCATTCAGATTAAATACCATAACCCTTGTCTCAATAGAACTCCAAAAAGAACAAGAGCTTTTATCTCAAGAGACTCACCCACCCCCCCTCCCCATTCAGATTAAATACCATAACCCTTGTCTCAATAGAACTCCAAAAAGAACAAGCATTTATTTTGAGAGACCCACCCCACCCATTCAGATTAAATACCATAACCCTTGTCTCAATAGAACTCCAAAAAGAACAAGCATTTATTTTGAGAGACCCACCCCACCCATTCAGATTAAATACCATAACCCTTGTCTCAATAGAACTCCAAAAAGAACAAGCATTTATTTTGAGAGACCCACCCCACCCATTCAGATTAAATACCATAACCCTTGTCTCAATAGAACTCCAAAAAGAACAAGCATTTATTTTGAGAGACCCTCCCCACCATTCTGATTAAA